CATCAGAGCTTAGTTTTAAACAGATCTACTGTGCACAAATATGGTAAGGGACCCACATCCTACCCCAAATCTTCCTTCTGTTTCCTGTCCTGGGAACAAATGTACCTAGTTTTAATGGATCTGACATAATGAAAATGTTAAATTTTCTCCACCAACAAATTCATACCTCTTAATGACTGATTATTATTATTATTTTTTTAGAAGTAGTGGCTTTTATTCTACCTAATTATTTTCTAGGGTGACAAGAAATGTTTTTAAACATATTATTTAGAAAACAAAAGTTAAAGCGACAACCTTGAGTAACTGTAGAACAAGGAAACTCAAGTGTTTGGGTTTAAAAATATTTCTACACTGTATCTTTGTGGACGTGGGGGGAAAAGAAACTAAATTTCCCCTTAACTGTCTAACAATCAGAATTCTTTAAAGATCTGTGCTACACACTGTAGCAAAGATATCAAATCCAGAATGTCTGGGGCTCATTTCCTTGTTTTCTAAGTTCGGACCCATTTAATGTTCTATTTTACAGCCATCTTCCCTGTTCGCAAAGACCAACAATAACAACACAAAATTACAGCTTGGAAACACAGATTTTTATGGTTGTGAGGCAGAAGAAAAGATTTTTTTTTTTTCTAAATCATTAGAAGAGTATGATTTTTTAATTCACAAATTGACTATACTGGGTCACCTTTGAGTAATGGAAATCTGTTTAAACATTCTTTTGGCAATAGGCACCAAGCATTAGATCTTATTTCCAAGCTTTACCAGCTGGGTTTTGTCATTAACATTTATTAACAATCTAAGATATGGCTTTCCCCGTCTAATCCGTACTACACAAATGTTTTGTATGGCCCTCCAGAGGATTTTGCTGTGACAAATTACTGGCAGAGATTATAGCCCCGTGGCTATTCACCAGAGGCAATGTAAAATTAACATGGTACTAATCCAATTTAAACAAGAAGTTGCACAAACAGTCCTCTGCACAAAAGCAGATAGAGGATTCCAATTTTATATTCAAACACAATAAATGTGTTTTTAATAAAAAGTTCTAAAAAAATTGTATTTTCACACATATGAATTGTGCCTATTTGATGAAGTTATTCATTTTTAAACCTGCAAAAAATAGTTACTGGCTCTTGCATTTCTTCCTAAGTGCCGAACCTCAAAAGTCGTCTGTAGACCATCAGTGATGCCTAGTGACCTCAGAGTTTGTTTACAGTGTTGTTTCCAAAGCAGAAAGTTTGTGGGATAAGGAACAGAATTACTCTGCAGGGAAGATCACTGCACTCAAAGAATAAGACTCTTTTCTTGAGCAAATAGTTCAGAGGTGAGCCAATAATGTAGGGCTGTTTTCTTCTTAATACAGACACTAACTCCAAGGGAAGCATCTGACTTTTGTGATGATAACCTCTCTGTTCGGAGGAACAAACACCAAAATTACTTTGCCCATGGTTTTTAGGCAAGAGGGTAGAAAAGACATAGGAAGAAAGGGTAAACAGAAAAGAAGGGATTAAATGAGAAGAGCAAGAAATAGCAAAAGTGTACAAGGATGCCTGCGATAGGAAGGGCAGGTGGGTGGCAGCCTTTTCGAGACAATTCTAATGAAATTCTGTTTCAGTAATTAGGGCACTTCCTTTGGAGAAAAGAGTCATCACTAATCAACAGCTAATACTTTTCTACCTTTTCAGTACTGATTCTGGTAATGGCTTCTAATGAATTACCATTCTCTGAGTCTCTGAGCCTTCACTATGTAACTTTTCTTCAGCTGCAGGCACCGTCTTCCCCGTCTTCCCCATCTACTCTTGGTTTTAAGACTGGAAATGATAGCAAATCTGATCGTGGTATTTCAAACACTCTTTCAAACACTGTCCCCTTAGCTTTGAGGGAGCTGGGTATATAATGGTAAGCCCACTGTCCTCTTATTTTTCTATTTTGGCTAACTTCATTTGGATATCTCACCACCTGCTAGACCCTGGAGAACTATCAGTCCTCCCAGCTGGATGCGGGATTCCCCATGAGACAGCGCCGCTCTGTGGGGAGCATCCACTCGTGTGCAAGGGGCACCACAGGCTCCCAGTAAGGACAGGCTGACAGAAAGAGGGAAAGTGAGAACTACAGACTCCATGCTCTCTCATCTCTTTATACCCAATCTTTAGGACGTTCTACAGATTCTCTGGTGTATCTGCACGTTTAGGATTTTTTTTTTCCTTCTATACAGTTTTCTAAAGAACATCTATAAAACTACCATGTAAATACAAAGTACTATTATTACTCAAACTATATCCTACCCACTTCCCTGTTGCTATTACTATATAACCACATCCGCCGCTTCTGTAGACTTAAAAATCTGAAATTGTTGACTAGAACACCGTAGTACCAAATCCCTCCAATATTTTTCTGTCCCCAAAAATATCCAAAGCTACCAACCAATTAGGTCCCCGCTGACTAAAACCAAGAACACTCCACAACAGTTTTAGGGCTCAGTTCCTTTTAACGGTTAACAATGTACTGAGCACATCCTAGTACCAAACCTGTATTAAACGCTGTATAAACCACTCATTCAATTCTCAGAACCACCTGTGAGGAGAAATTAGTCTCCTCATTTGTACGGTGAAAAATCAAGAGGTAGAGCCAAGATTCACCTCACCTCTCAGGACATGTTCTAAACCACCTCTGAGAGAATTTGAATCCTGTCACTTTTAACAGCTACTCCCAACACATTATTTCCTTGTTCCCAATTCCTCAGGCTTCTCCACCTTGTACCGTATGTAGCCTAAGGCCCTTGGCATCGTGGCTTCAGCTTCTTCCTGCTCGAAGTCACTCAGTTCTCACCATCAGAGCTTGCCTATCTAAGTCAGGGATGCCACTTTCCTGGCTGGGATGTGCCAAACGGTGACTTGTGCCTCAGTACTTTGTCAGAAATCCCTAAAGCCTTCCCTGGCTCCCTTTGTTTTTCTTGAAATTCTTGCATTATTTGGCTTCTAGGGAATAAAAAGATAACATGAAAAAAGGGGAAAGAGCCTGGACTCCAGGCCTCGCCTGCTCGCTCATGATCTGTGTGAGCAGGTGCACCTGACTTAACTTCTCTCAGTCTCAGTGTCTTTCATCTGGAAGATGGAAATAAAATTACCTGCTGCAGAGGGATCTTGGTTAGGATGAAATGACAAGAAGTGAGCGGCTGGAAATCCTTGTCATGATCACCCTCTTTCTAGCTGCTGCCTCCAGCATCAGCTCTCCTCTGTCCTCTGCAAACCTAAGGATACTCAGTTGTGTCTGCCACGGCTTCAATTCTCGCCTCTGCAAGGGAGTCCTTGCTCTGTTCTTAAGCCCCATCAGCCTCCCTACACCGGATCCATATTTCTGAGTGCTTGCTGAATTTCTCTCTGCAGAAGTTAAAATGTCCAACTTTGCAAGTCCTATCTCCTTCTCATCTTCATACTGCATTTCCGTACTGGAAAACTATTTCCAGATGGTAAGGCTTTAGCCTTGGGCATCAACTTTGACTTTCTACTCTGCATTAAAATCAGGTAGATGGTGCTACACACCATCCACCAAAACTATTTTTTTTTTTTTTAAACAAGAATCTGTGTGTCCCGTTCCCACTGAAGTTCCAGTCCTTATCGCCCAAAATGACCACTACAAGGGGTCCTTCTCTGGGGTCCAAGTACAGTCTATGCTTTCCAACTCCGTGCCTGTTTGCCATTATCATTTCAGTGATTTTAGCCTGTTTGCCATAATCATTTCAGTGATTTTATTTCCAGCATTTCCCTCACTACTTTCCTCAATCACAACCCACTCATCAGAGGTCTATCTCAAATACCTCCTCTTCCACAACACCTTTCTTAAGTGCTATAAAATAGATGTACTTTCCTCTCCTGACTACTCTGGATGGTTCTTCTCAGGCTCTTTTAAATATAAATGTTGTACTTTTCTTCCCTACTACTAAATTGCAAGCTCCCTGAGGGAAAGACTTTTTACCTACATCAATAAATCTAGGGCAGGCAGTAGCTTGAATACAGGAGGCCCCCAGTTACACTCATCTATCCTTAGTCCTGTGAACTTTCATGGTCATTCTGTGTCATCTCAACTCTTCTAGGAGCTATGGTAAGGCAAATTGTACTATTAATTCTCCTGTAGTCTTGGATATAATTCTCTATGAGGGCAGGAAGCGATTAATACGATACCACAAAGATGTTTAATAGCATTTAATGGTCATGGAGACAGATATAAAGAATACAAATTTGAAAGGCCCTATGTGCCAAATTTCATTCAGAATAAAACTGTTAAAAAAAAGGCAGAAGTTAGAATAAAGCTAACCATTACTGGTCCTTAAAAGTGTGAGGTCAAGTAGGTTGGAGTCTAAAAAACCTTGCTCACATTTTACTTGATCTTAATCATCTGAGGAAATTGCACCCCAAAATAAGATTAATTTCTCCTGAGGCTTACGGCATTTGTTATCAAGTAGGAAGGAGGAGGGGGAAGAAAAGTAACGTAAGAAGAACTCAACTCAGGAAACCACTATCACTTTTTAAATTCTTGTAAAATTATGCAAAAATTGTCTCTCCTTTTCTTCGCTGAATAAATGCCTATGTCTTCTAGGAATAATATTTAAAATAAGCTCTTCAGTTGGAGGTCATGTTAAATTTTTTAAGTTATTCTTAAAGTTCTCTCCTGAACAGTACTTTCAATGGAAGGAATTTATACTAAGAGGGAAAAAAATGGGCATTTTATAAGTGAAAGTAAAATAAATTATTCCCACTTTCTTCTGGGGAGGATAGTTGGCTATTTAAAAAAAAAAGAGAGAGACCTAAAAGCTTTTTTTTTTAATTAAGATTAAAAGATCTTTAAAAAAGCCCCTAACCTCCTAATGTCAGAAATAGCCCTGGAAATTGAAATGGACACATCTGAACATAAGACATATTGCCAAATACGCATACTTGTAAAGAATCAAGGGACAAAAAGACATAAAATGAACAATCCATCATCAGCTATAAACTACATACCTGTTTAAGTCTGGCAAGTTCTTTCAAAGCTCGTCCCCACTGCTGCTTGTAATGCAGTTTAGACTTAGTTGCAGATTCCAACTTCCTTTCAAGTTCAACCTAACAGTGATTAAAATCATATCAAGTGAAACACTATACCACTGTGTACAATCACTGAAAGATAATATATACAAAGAGTCTGGCTTAAGAAAAGAGTTTATATAGTGTAACATACGACATCATCTAAAACTGTTATATAATTTACTATAAATATTATGGCACATGAACATTTTCTTGTTTAAAATATAGTCGTATTTTTACTGCCTAACAGCCTATGCTAAAAGGAACTGAATCAGTCTTAACCTCCAGACAGTTACTATAAATGTATTAAAACGTGTAGAGTGCAAAACACATTAATTTTTTACAAAAAGCAGTTCTTACTGTTAGCATTCCAATTCAGCAGGCACTCTAAATCTGAGAAACCAAGTTATTCCTTTTGGAGGCCTATCATGACATGGAACTTGGTCTTACAACAAAAAGAGCTAGTAGAGATACTTTCATATTTTGGCAAAAATCATAAAATGCTGAAAACAGTGAAACGTTTTATCAGAAAGCAGTTTACTAAGAAAGAGTACAAAGTGAAAAATATTTTAAGAATGTTAAAATAAACCCGAGAGTAGGAAAAATAATGCTCCTAATAACATTCATCTAACTCTTATTTTCTATTTTTCCTCAAATATATAAAGAAAAACATGAAAGTGATTCCATAAAAAAATGGTTATTTATACTTGCAGCAGGCAATCTGTTGTGCATGAACTGAAGCCAACTTGGCTATGTTCTGGAATGTACTCTCTCAGTGTTTCAAACCAAGTACCAAACAAATTCATGAAGCCAACAGACAGTTTTACTATTTAAGTGATAATGTAATAATATGCCTGAATTACAGTAAAATACTGTGACTCTAAACGGGTCTAAGTTTTTTTATATCAAGTCCAGTTTTTCCCATATACACAACTCCTCGTGTTTTGCAGGAAAACAAAACCAAAGGCACTCTCCCAAAATTCAAACGCCAGAAAACTTTCATCTTATTTTCATGTAAGGAAAAGCTGACTGCCAAATTCCCTTCACAAAAGACCAGAACATTCTCTGCAGTAATATATGACTTCATGGAGTCAAGTTCTTTTCTGCTTTACAAATCCCTGGTGCTTGGATTTAAAGGTGTTGACATTTCACAACGAGACTTACACGCCTTAAGCTGAAGAACTGTGAGATTATCAAAGATGAACTCTTCTGCTTATGCCCCCCAAATTTATCCATATTACTTAACAATAGGGCATCAGAGGAATAGCAAAAATCTTTTTATAGCTCTGAGATAAAAGGGTGCTATTTAATTATAAAAGCGATCATGTCCATGGGTCTTGGAGAAGGTGTAGTAGTCTGGATGGGCCCAAGGGATGAGGGTTAGGACAGAGATGAAACCAGAGGGATCACATCTACCCAGGGGACTGACTCCACAGAAAAAGTGGGATAAGGTTTTATCAGTTTTGCCCTGATTATCAAAATAATTCCCATTTGCATAGTTATTCACACTTAAATAAACTGTAGTTAGAAAATTTCAGCTACATACCTCACTTTTCTAATTCATTCCTTTGGCCCAATCGATGATTCCTACCTTTATTTTTTTAAGAATATAGGTGCCTCTGTGATTCTAAAGAAACACATGGACCCAATTCCCAGAAACATGCACATGACTGAAGATTTGATATAATTCCAGGGCATTCACAGACCTCGCGTTAAGACATCTCACTGTGAGCAGATCTGAGGCTTGAGCTAGGCTGTAGTACCCTTAGATCATGAGCCCAGTTACAGACTTCTGGTGTGAAAACTCACATCAGGACCTAGAGTCAGTTGAGAGATCCGTGCTCACTGCTGCTCCCATCTCCCTATTTCTATGCCCACAGCTGTCATTCGCTACGAGACGGAGGGCACTGGCTTTGTCTCTGATGCCCTACTCCCTAGTTTGAGTCTGTCACAGGCAACTATATTGATTTCTCCCTGGAAAAACTTGGTGGTTTTCTTCTTTTCCCTTCCTACTGCCATTTCCTTAGCCCAAGTTCTTTTCCTCTTCTCTGGTCTCTTCAGCCTCAAATTTTTTCTGTCTACACATCCCACTTTCCTCTCTGCTAAAAAAAAAATCTACCATCGCTGCTACTTACCTGCAGTCTTGAGCCTATACTCCTCTGTCTAGGTTTCACGGTGTTCCAAAATCTCACTTCTGTCCTACTTGCTGAACCTATTTCCTGCGTTTTCCTCAACAGAAGACCCTCTCCTCCAGCCCCCAGCTCCGTGTCCTGTACACCACCGCCCCTGGCCCATTAACTTCCTGAGCCAGTTACTTCTTTTTCTACTCTAACTTAAAACTTGAAGCTTCAGGCTCGGCTACCCCTCCATGAAGCGGTCTTAAATTTTCTAGATTGCAAAGAGTTTCTATCACATTCCTTGGTATTTGATTCACACACAATCACTTAAGGCTGAGTCATCTCCCTAATTTCATTACAAACTCTTTAAAAGTGAGGTCCCAAAGGATAATGTGCTTTTTCTCTTCTCTTTTTCCTCTCATCTTTCCCTTTGCCTTAAGACAGGGGTGGATGAGCAGTAGCTACCAAATGATCTTAAGTACGAAAATTTCAGCGTTTATCTTCATCTTCAGTCTGTCCTACTAAGTTATTTTCCATATGTCATTTATTTAAAAACCGAATTATTTTTAAGCCATCTAAGAGACTCGTACCGAAAAGCAAATCATAAACTATTACTGACTTCTTACATAACAAAAGGAATCAGGAATTATATTTGGTAAAACTGTGTCTTATCTATACACCATTTCGTGAAAATGGAAATACTTCTTTTACACTGAAGAGAATGGGTAATCAGAAAGGAAAAGCCCTCAGGCAGACATAACGAGAAGATTAAATATGGAATCAGCTACTTTCTCACTTATGTCTTCCTTTTTGGGCTTTTAGGTCTTTGTTATTATGTAGAAATAAGAAATAAGATTCTGCCCTCTTCTGGCTCCAAAAAAAACTTACCAAGAATTTTCTGTCCGAGCACAGAGGGCTTGTTTTATTGAACACTCACACATGCTGGATGAATTCTTTAGGGCTGGTGCAGGGGCAATTGACCTAGTCATTTTTCCCTCTTGCGCTTAACTTCATGGCCCTGTTTTCACTTGTAATATGTTGAGTGATTTTCATCCTGTTGCTAGAAGTATAGTTGGAAAAAGGGATTCTGAAAATCACTTAAAATGTATGTCTAAGCTGGAAAGTGTCAAGTTTATATTCAGAAAAGATAGTGCTTCTGTTCTGATTTTGAGATAGGTAGTCTCTGAAGGTAAAATGGTAAAACGAAAATCCTGAGACCTGCGTAACAGGACCTGAGAGATGGGCTGAGGCTCTGTTTGTGTGCTTCAGCTGTCTTCGGCAGGTACCACAGGACTTGTAGTTGTCAACACAGGAATAGCGGAACACTTGTTTTTATCCAAAGAGGGGCTGAGAATGTCCAGCTGAATTCAAGTTCACTGGTAGACAAATGAACAGCCCACCAAATGAAATGGAAAAATGCAAAGACTGTCCCGATATGTAAGAAGCAGCATCAACCACGCTGGGCAGTCAAACCCACGTTGGGGAAGAAAAGGAACCAAAGACAGCACAGCCATGGACAGGCCGTAGAAACAAACTGGTTAATTAATATCTGCTTCAACTAAAAAAAAAAAATTTTTTTTTTAACCATAGTCTAATTCTTGTCTCCCAACTTTTCTATGTACTCACCCTTTCTGCCTCTTAAATAGTGTCTCTACTTCCCAAGAAAAACTCTTTCATGGTCCACTCATCCCCTCCTCTCTTAAAGCTGAATTTCTTCTTGTTTTCACAAGAAAATATTTGTACATTTTTCTACCAGTATGTAAGATTTTTTTCAACAGTGTGAAGCCCTTGGGTTATATTTTGTTTCAGTTTTTTCCAGTGCCAAACTTTTCAATAAGCCCCTGCAATTTGGCTTTTTCAAAGTTAGTGAACCTGCCAAACCCATGGCCCTTCGTCCACCGTTCTTGACCTGCCCTTCGTGAGACATGACCTCTACTACTTATTCTCAAAAATCCTCCTCTTCTGGGTACTAGACTGTTTTTATTACTCCTCTGAATCTCTTTAGCCTCCTTCTCTCATCCCTGAGGCTGTGCCTCCCCCGAAGTGGTCGGGGGTCCTTCCTTGGCACACCTCAAGCCATTGCATCTGCATCTAAGGCTGACTCCCTTTTCTCTCTTCCTACCGTACTTCCCATTTTTAACCACTCAGTCAGCTGCTCCACTTCCGCTGTTCGGCTAGCATCTCAAGTGTAATACGTCTAGAACCAGAATTCTCTACAACTTCCACCTCCTCAGAAAGTTCTTCCTGGAAGTTCTTCACTTCCATTAACTTGACAGCAATCTCTGACTTTTCTTACCAGATGAAATACAAGTTCTTTAACTTACCATCTAAGGTCTTCCCCCTTATAGGACCAAAAATTGCATCCCCAGCATTCTCTCGGCAGTCCAGTTTTTATTTTGAAACTAGGACAATAATGATTAGGTTCTAGTCAAACTATTACCGAAATATGTAATAGACTTCCTAACCTTCCTACTTTGCCTGAATACCTCTTTCTGGAATATCCTCCCCTACACATTCACCCATTAAGAGGTCATGTGTCCTTTAGGTTCCATATCCAGTCTCATCACGATTTCACGAGAAGGAGCTTTGTCTCCCCTTTACATTCATGGCTCTTAGTAACACAAAGTTAGCTAGATGGTACCAGCCATCATCTTCCTTTCACTTTATCTAGGTAAGTTCCCTGCCTCTCTGCATGACTTGTCATTTAGTTGACTCTATCCTGAACGTTTTGTAATCATTCGGAATAGCATTTAGCACAGTGTCAGAGAACATACATCTTTGCTGGATAATGAAAGATCAGTTCTGTCCATCAGCATCCTGCCTGGAAACCAGACATCACTCTAGGTCTTCAAAAGAGATTAACTTAATGCAGGCAACGGAAAAGCAGAAATGCTGGAGGGGATCGGGTGAGGGGCCCCCCGGGGTGAGCAGGATCAGCCAGTCTCTACCTCTCCGGGGTAGGAGGGGCTCCAGGGGGAAGTAGCGGGAGGAGCAGTTCTTACATCCCCAGAACCCAGAGCCAGGGGTTGTCCAGTGAGCTAGAGCCCCAGTGGGGATGGCCCAAGGCAAGCTGAGAGAAGGGCTGTCTGGTAGGACAGGGGACCATAAAGTACACCTACTACCCGAGGAAGTAAGAGAAGCACAGCGACAAAGACAGAGAAGGAAGAACTACCCTGGCGTCTTCCCAACTTCCGTCCGCCAATCTTCTGAGGGTGCCCCCTAGTGGCCTTTAACTTCCACAGATTATTTTCTTATTTATAACCTGTGTCATTTTCCTATGTAGTAGGAACCAGAACATACTTCCTGTTGGTGGTGAATCCCCAGATAAATAGAGGGAGGACCTGGCTTCCAAGGACAGGAAACAGAAGAGGATGGACATCCCCCCTTCCAGGCTAAGAGGAGAGTGCAGGCTTGTAATGAATGCTCCTGTCCGGGATGCTGAATCTGATAAGGATAGTAATACACAGAGAGCATTCCCGACGGCAAGGCTGGCACCAGAAGCGGGGGTTACAGAAATCCAAGGACACGGCCATGACAGCACCAACAGCAGCAAGAGAAGATGGTTTGGGGACAGGCCATGCTGTGCTGCCCCTGGTTCTTGCTCCTACTTTGCAACTTGTTCTGTAGCCTTCCTGAAAGTTTTGGGGATTCCTTTATTCCTACAGTTAGTTACTGATGTGGTTTGCAACCAACGACTCTGATCAGAGAAAATGGATAAAAGCCAAGAAATTCAAGTACTGACGAGGTCATGTGTCTAGAATTCTGTTCTTAGCTGACATCAGAACACTACAGTGAAATGTTATTGCATTTTATATTCACGTAATACTTACTGACTTTATAAATTATTAGAATTAGTTAAATTGCCATAATCTGACATGGGTACCTTTTCTAAGGTGAGGAGATTTATTTCAGACTGTAGACGGATTTCTGGTTTGTTGCTTTGCTGATCCTTGAACTGAACAAACTCTTTTTCCAAAATCTTATACTTATTTTCAGCATCAGTAAGCTGTATTTAAAAAAGAAAAAAAACACCGGTATGCTAAGTTCAATACTATAGAATTTGATTCAACAGTGTCATATTTTCCTTATGCTAAAACATGTTTATAGTAGAAAATTTAGAAAATCCCCGAGGTATAATGAGGAAAATTAACAACATACAAAAACTTTTTAAGAGTATGAAATCTGTTATAAAACCAGTATCACCAGAACCTCTTTGGTAAATTTTAGATGGCAAATGAAATTCACCTTATAAAAATACAGATACTACGTACTTAGGATGTCACATGTAAGAAAATATTGTGCATTATAGATATACCAGCTAATTACAGAGAAAACAAAAACTTTTAGTGCTGTATTTCTTTTTCTTATTATTTGAAGCTGTAAGAACTCCATAATTCAAATACTATTACAAGTTAAAGTCATTTCAAGATGATTTGGCCCAATCCCTTCATTTTTGTGGCTGAGAAATTTAAAGGTTGCAGAAGCTCAATAATGGGGGCGGTGCCTAAGAGCCAGGATGTAGAAGAGACATAAGTAGCATCCAGATCTCTTCATCCCCCAGAATAATGCTCTGATGAGAGCAGGCAAATACTTCGTTAAATTAAAAAAAGAGAGAGACCGCCTTGACTCAAGTCTATATATAACTCCCCTTCTAACAGTTTCAGAACTACCAAACCCCCCAACCCAAAAAACAGGATATAAAAATTTTTTATTTGATCTGGGATTTTTTTTAATCAAATGAAAACAAGCACTGTTAAAAATGCCTTCCAAAAACATGTAACACTAGAACTACCAATCATAGATAAACCCATTTATCTTGTAAGACATAAGACTTAACTGAATTTGAAATACTGAGAAAATCTGTGACAGAAATGGAACTTAAATTATCAACAATAAATTCTTATTTCATGCCAGTAAATACAAATAATTCCAATTAGGATTTATCTCACATCTTAAGGTAATGAGGTATTCCATTACCTGAAAATTCTTCATATGACTGAAGTTTATCTCTCTGAATATCTGAACTTTTATTTTTAAATTTGAATTAGAACCTTTCTAAAGCATCTCTGTCACATTTATTTCTGTTTTAAACAAAAGCTACCAGACTTCGTATTTGTTATTTTTTCCACCATTCAGAGACATCATCATAATTACTGTGGCCCCAATCAGGTTGTACAGAAGTAAGCTATGAGGCGTAAGGGGCTCTTTTTCTTTGGCTAAGTGGTCCATAAACAACATGGATTGAGTGTGTGGACCCGCTTTTATATACCGGAATACAGATACTTGATCACAGGGTGTCTTTTTGTCCTTTCTACCTGTCTAGTTAGAACTGTGTGCTGAGTATATGGAACCTAGTTCTGACTCAGGGCCTAGAATGTTTTCTTTTATATAAGCTGTGAAATGTTCCCAGTGAAGGGCTGAGTAATTTCAGCTCCCAGACACGTGGGCTGCCCCACAGCTCCCTCCTCACTCCCCTGCCAGGTTTCCCCCAGGTCTCAGACTATGTTCTAGAGGAGTGCCTGGGCTTAATTTTTCCAAAATACCAGTTTGTGCCACAAAGGTGCTTCCCACAAAGATGCAAGCTAATTACATCAGTCTGGGACAAGGTAGAAATGGGTTTTTCAAAAAGATCCCCTGGTGAATCTAATGCATGTTAGAAGCCTCTATTCTAGAAGGCTCGATCTCCCTAAGAAGTGGAAGAAGGGAAGCACTCCCGGTGAAGCCCATCCCGACTGCCCACTTTTACCACTCGATCTTTCATCTTTTACATGAGACTTCTATATAACAGTCCATGAACAAAGTATTGGCCACAACGAAATTTGTCAGAAAAAAAATTTCTGGAGTCAAATTTAGTTCTTTGTCATGTGAATAATGATAAGGGAAGGAACATTATCCCAACGTCGTCTTTAGCTTTGACTTAGGAAAACAAGACTTGACTTAAAGTCAATCTGAATCTCGGTGCAATCAGTATGATCAATAGTTCGATTTACTGTGTAGTTTTCTCACTTTTCAGTGAATACAGAGAAGCTCGAGCTCCCACCTGCTGCTGCAGTCGGAGTTTGTCCTCTTCCAGCTGTCTCATCTTCAATCTTTCTAGTTCCACCTGATGAACACAATCCTCTTTGGCCCTCCGGATAGAGTCCTGAAGTTCTTGCAGGTTCCGTTCACGTTCTAATTTCAGTTCCTTTCTCTCTCTTTGAACCTGACAACAGATGCGTCTGTAAGAGGTGGGCTTGCTCTTGGCTATGTGACACTGTTCAGTAGTCTATTATCCTTATATACAGTCAATGTTTGGAATATTTACAAATTTATCTCCATATCCTTTTCCGTTATTAGAGTTAATGTTTAAACATACTGAAATTCTACATTTTAATCCATCATCACTTAATTCTAATATAAAAAGTATATCCAAAACTCCATATATGACTCACATAAATTCAATTGAAAAGGCCCTAATAACTTAAAATTCCTATTTGAATAAAACCCATTGTATTATCTAAGCAAATATGCCCAAGTTTCTTTTCTTCTTTAGACATTTCTTATATTTTGAGGGTGCCTGGGTGGCTCAGTCGGTTAAGCGTCTGACACCATCTAAGATTCTTTCTTCCTCTTCCTCTACCCCTCCCCCTGCTCATGCACACTCTCTTTCTCAAATAGATAAATCTTCAAAAAAAAAAAAAAAAAATGGGGGCGCCTGGGTGGCTCAGTTGGTTAAGCAGCCAATTCTTGATCTCAACTCCGGTCTTGATTTCAGGGTGTAGCCTACTAAAACATGGAGCCTACTAAAAATAAACCACAAAATTTCTTACATTCTGCCTAGTATCACAGAAGGTGACTGAGCCTTTATATTAGATGTTTGACCTTAAATATATTTGTTTCCAAATCAACTTAGAAATTCCAGAAAATGTGAGGACAAAGTTAAGAGAGAGATGCTGAGAAACACGTGTGGTTAGGGAAGGGGCATATAAATTTAACATGGGGTAAATTCTAAGTATTTTGAAGTGACTTTTGTAGTAATTTAAATAAATATTTAGGGTAAAATTTAGTACGACCTAACAAAATTGCTAACTAGGCGTAGCACTAACAGAAGTTTTCATCCATCCTTCAGATTTAACCTTTAATGGGCAACAAGGGTGTTCCTTTCTTACCGAGAGCAAGGTCAGAAGGCTAGGCCACTAAGCCTGTGCTGCATTTTTTCTCTTCTCTACGTAGTACCACTCTCCCTTCCTTCCCCATAATGGGAAACTTAACCGGAAGTCTCTACAACTGCAGACATCAGCCAAAGCTGGCTAACAATTAACATTTCTAGTAACAAATATTTGGCTATCTATTCCTCACGTTCTGACCTATTTTTGAACAGCAGTTTTCTCCATCATGCCTACAAGACAGCTTCCATGAAATGGAGTTTATGCTCATATATGAGCATAAAGGAAAAATAACAGTATGGACCTAGAACACAGATTCTGGGAAATGAAGACGTACGATAGAGGAATACAGTTACCTCTGACTCTGCAAGGACAAGCTGCTGCTCTCGCTTCTCTAGGTCAATTAGGGTTTTTTGAAGTTTTCCTTCTAGAACAGTATATTCAGCCACCTAAAGTACGATAGAAGAAAAATGACCTTTTCCCCAAATTCAAAACATGAACAAATCCAACGATGCATACATTTTAACTTACTGAAACACAAGACGTGGGAATAGGAAAATCATGAATTACATCCACCAATTCAAAGCAGAAATTCTTTCCAGTACCCTAAGGAAGGAAGCCCATCTCGCTTCTGCTTGGCTCTCTCTAGTGACAGTCAGTTTCCCGAGGAAGCTCTTTCTCCCACTGGACAATCAGACTGCTAGTAAAATCCTATGTTCAGGCAACATCTAGCTCCTTAAAATCTGCCTTGGTCAACACTCCGGTATTTCTCTGATGCCCCCCCTTCATCACTTACGCTCCTTCCCTAGAACGAATTCTGTTGCTAGATCAGCTAGTCAGTTTCAAGTCTGTCCTCCTCCTGGTTCAGATCTCATCCTTTCCTGCAGTTCCATGATCGCTTCTGAAGCCACACTCCCTGCTTGGGCCCCAAGCCTAGTACCCCGGTTGCTATGGGCTTGCAGTCCTGCTCTGCTCTTTGACCCTATGAGTCCCATTCAGAATAAGAGGTCTGCTAGCTCAGCCTACACAGCATGTAGGAATCTGACAGTTTGCTATCTTTCATTTGTAACTGATCATTTTTACTAGGACTTTCTGAACCAGTTTTTCTATCCTCACCAACTAGTCTCCAGATCCCAGGCCACATCTTAATCTTCTTTTTCCCGTAGTCAATAGGACCTTGGTTTGATCCTCCTGAACCTTACCTGTACCCCTTAGACAGAAGAAAAAAAAAATATCTTCACATATTTGAATCTGGTGATAGCCATCATATATCCTCTTAGTCTTTTTTCTTCTCCAAGATAAACACAAGTTTTAGCTATTATTCACATATTTTGATTTTCACATCATCTAATATCTTAGATTTAATCTAGAGATTAGATTCTAGACTAAGTCTTTTAAAAAATGTGGTAGCCCGATGTGATCTCACTACTTCCAAAGCCAAAGAATGTCCCCTGCCTGAGACAAGAACAGCAAGTCCATTAACTTCATCTAAAATCGCATGTGCTATTTCAGGATCCTGATCACGCCATCTGTTGTGTCAAAGAAATTCCCCCAAGACTTTTGTTTTTAAACCTGGGATAACTATACCCACATAACTATTGTCCAAAAGACTGTTGTGACTACGGAATTTGACATTTGTCCTTGTTAAACTTTATTTCAGTGATTTAGGCCCGACATACCAACCAATCATGATCACTTACTAAGAATTCCGCTAACTCTACCACCTACTTTTGGTTTACCTAAAAAACAAAACAAAAAACAACTAAGTGTGCCCTACACCTCCTTATAAAGTCTTACAGGGATAGGGAAACAGGATGGTGAGTCAGAATTCCAATGTTCTGCCTCTGGCAAGGCAAATGTGTGCGTTCCCAGAGCCCTGTCTCAGGAGGTCTCCTTTCCTGCTACATGACCTCCGCGGATGACCCAAACCACCTACCATCACGTATACGGAGCACTCCCAAATCCAGCCTGCCAAGTCAAAACCCCCTGCAGAGGTTAGGACCTCTAAGCCCAAGGATCTGCTGCATATGCCAATACTCCCTAGGTATCTCAAACTCAAAAATGTATAAAAACGGGAAATCATCATCATTTAAATAACAAATATCTATTGAAAACCTAGCAGGTGTGGGTAAAAGAAAGTCCTGTGATACCTATATTCTGAGGGAGGACCAGCTATGAACAAGGAAGTGGATATTTAATGTAATCCTAAGTAAATGCCAGGATGAAAATAAGCAGACTGAGTGTCTAGCTAGTGGCGGGGAGCAAAGGAAGAAGGCGTATGTTGGACATAATGATCAGAGAAGGCCCCACTCGGATTATCCTGAACAAAGACCAGAAAGTACTTCTAACAAAAGGACATTCCATAGATCCTGAGGTGGGGGACATGTGGCTTAGCACATCTGGTGAACTGCAAGGAGGCCAGGTTGGTAAGAACAGACTGTAGCAGGAGGCGGACAGAAGGGAGGTCACAGAGGAAGCTAGGAGACAGGTCACCTAAGGCCTTGTGGGACCTGGTACAAAACGTGAGTTTTATTCTACGTGCCATGAAGAGCATGACAGGTTTTAGCAGAGGCGTGCACTGTCTGACTTTTGGTTTAAAAGCCTCCCTCTTGGATGATACGGATATAACCAGCTACCGGGGTCAGGAAAGAGGAAGGGATGCTGAGTTAAGTAGTAACTAGGAGAGAAGTCACCTAGGCGAGACGTAAAGTTGTGAAGGAGGTGGCTCAAAGTGGTTCGTTTCCAGGATACATATGCAGTGTGGAGCCACGAGGATTTGCTAATAAACCAGATGTGGAATCAGAGTCAAGGATAACTTGCCTTGTAACCTGAGAAACTGAGTAAAAGCATCGCCATTTATTAAGATGGGGAATCAACACGAACAAATTTATACAGGAGGGAGATACAGAGCTTGTTCTTAGGTCACATTTGAGTTGCTTATGAGACAGTCAGTGGGCAGTGTCAAGAGCAAAGTGCAGAGTCCAGAGAAGAGGCAGGGGATGCAAGTGGATACATGTTATATATGATATATATTATGTATAATATGCATACTTGTATAGGACAGTAAGAAAGTGGAGGACAACACCAGAAGAAATGTAAAAACAGAAAAGAGATTCAAGGACTGGGCCTTGGGGCAAGCCAATAAACCCAGCAGAGGCTGAGGGGAAAAAAATGATCCAGCACGAAAACTGGGAAGGGGAGACCAGTGAATTCAGTAGAACAGTAGGAAGGTTATAGGAGGAGAGGTCAAGCAAAGGAAGTGTTTTAGAAAGGGAAAGATCAAATTGGGTAAGGATGAGGGAGGCTTGGTTGAGAACTGTTCTGGAGAGGGAATGAACTGCTTAGGGAAAGAAGGAGGAGCATTGGGTAGCAATGAGTATCCCTTAAGGCTTCAGATCTTAAACCTCCTTCACTCCCTTTAACTCCCGTTCCCCTTTTCTCTACCACCTTATCACTGCTCTGACTTTTGAGCCTTCATCTTCTTTTACATATATTATTGCCTCCCTGGTCTTCCTGACTTTAGCTTCACCCTCTTCCATTCTGTCCATTATACTTCCACCAGAATGACTGTTCGAAAACGAAAATCTCATTTCCTTGTTCTCTTACATAAAAGTCTTCATTAAAAAAATGTTTCTCAAATTTCTACCTTTCCCAAGCTGGGTTATCAGCTGAACCACAGAACATAAAAAAATAATTCAAGTAATTTTTTTCTCTGTCTTCTCTACTAATGTAGAAGCATAGGATCAAGTTAATCCATTGGCGACAGTAGATGCTGGCAAGCATTAGGGCTTAATTCTCTCAAGAAACCCTGGCTGAGAAAGTCTGCAGGATCAAGTCTAACCCCTCAAAATGGAACAGAAGAGCATTTACATTCCATAAACCTCTCTATGCCTTAATTCTTGAGGCATACCCTCTCCTCCCTTCTTCCCACATCAACCTACATACAATTTTCTTAATGCCAAGCCTATTTCAAACTTCTTTGGAATGTCCCTTGAGACCACCTGGTAGTATCTACTAATCTTTATCAAAGTAAAAGCATAATCTTATCCATGAAACACTTCCTCATACTATTCCCTTATGTAGAACTGAGTTCTTCCTTCTTTGTGGGTACATGATAGCGACCTTTAGCTATCTGACGGGAAGTCACGTAGAAGACAGAATAAACATGATCTCAGCTATGAAGAAGGCAGAACAGGACCAGAGTATCCTACTCATAAATTACTTTAAGATACATTCATTAGTTGACAATCACCGGGTTTAGCATATCCGTCTGTACAACCAGGTTATTAGCAATACACTGGTTTCTGGAAATAAAGGTTTAGTATATTTCACTTCACCCCAAAGGCCCCAAGTGGGTGGTAGACAGATCATTATATTATCTGTTTCAAGGTTAACTAAGGCTTCATTTATTTGGAGGAAAAGTTTATGTATAACTCCAGAGAATAAATTATTTTTTCAAACAGAGAAATTTCCACAAAAACAATCTGCTCCTTTTCAGGTAACAAAATAATGCCTCCAAATGGTCCCAAAAGATGACCAAAAAACATTAATTGATAGATTAATAAACCCAGTCACCCATAAGGATATATATCATTAGGTGCCTATCATAAGCTTAAAATAGTAATTTATTATTATGAAATACTAGTATCTTTGAGATCTGATTATATATAGTTTTATTTTACTACATACACTCTTTCACCACTACATCCTGAATTGGTGGGCTATTAGCTAGTTAGCATCTTTTTGGTAAGGCAAGATAGAAGTTCCTCATAATAAACAGATGAGTTCCATTTTACTATTAATTAGTTATTTTGTGCCGAATAGCAGAAATAAAATGAAATTTAAATGACTGCATAATGTTCCATCAGTATTATCCAGACTCCTTCAGGTAAACTGTCTAACTATTGAAGAAGTTACATATTGTTTTGAAGAAAACAGGTAAATAAAGTGAAAATAAATGAACAGAAAAGGCTCATACATTTTAGACCTAAAAATAGTATGGTGAGATTCTCAGAGAATTTAGCTTGAAAAGGTCTCATCCTATTGAAGAAAAAATTGCTTTTTTCTCCCCACGGACTCAATTTTACAGTAACTTACCAAGTTTTAGAAAAACAGATCTCATCCTAGTTGACCATACTCTTACAAGACAGAGCACATGTTACACTGGATGAGTTGTAACTCCCAAATGTATTTAGATTGAAATAAAATGGCAACATCCAATCTACTTTTTGACATGACTAATTCAAATAAATACCTGAGCCACTTACTAGACAGATATCATATTCCATTTTCTGAGCAGAGTTCTTATTAACTAATCAGGAGCTTGTCGATTCAAGCTGAAATGGTAGGAGAAACTGTATATACTGGAAGCCAATTGAAAAGATAACAGCAAAATGACAACCAACCAGAAATCACTTTGACTTTTTTTTTTTCCAACTCATTACACAAAAACTGTTTTTTTTCTCTATCTCTTTTTTTTTTGCAATAGAAAGTTCAATTAGGGCACAAGGTGGATTTGTCAAAATTATTAACTAAAAAATGTTTCAAGATTTGACTTTTGCAAACCTCAACCCTGAAAAACTCTTCAACAGCACTTTAAAAAATGGTTCAACAATAAACTCGTCTTGCCTTAAAAGGTAAATGAAAAATTAAAAAACTTTCAATATTTGATGGCTCAGATTCAATTCATAAAGGATACTGGAGAACTATAAATGCTACTTAATATAAAAGTCACACTTAGTACAACTACTATAAAGTTTAAGTATGTGTGAGGGCCTCTAAATTTTTAAATTTCAGTTATTTGAGTATTTAAGAACAGATGCTTTAGAGTGGTCCTATTATCTTTTTCTTTTAATTCACCGGTTTTTCAAATTTTTAATGGTTGAGAATTAAGCGAGATAAAGTTGAAACAGTTACTTTAAAGTCAAAGGCTTGGGGGCCTTCTGTTCGGTCTACCCGTAGAAGACTAACTGCCCCCCACCCAAAACACAAATGGAACAACCCACACGAAACAAGTGCTTTCACACACTGGAGAATGGGCAGCCCAGGACCATCATTCCTGACAGAGCAGAAACAAATGAGGCCCTAACAGGAACTCTAGTGGACTTCCTGGAGGCACTTTCCAGACTCTAGCTCAGAGAAGGGGGGACCCAGCAGACCCTCGCCATCTGGCCGAGTTGAGGCAACAGACAGACCAAAGAGGATGAGGCAAGTCAAGCTGGTGAGGAGAGGAGGGAGACGTGGAGAGAGTGAGCACCTGAGACCTGCAGAGTAGTCTGCTCCAATCTGAGGTGAAACCCCGAAGGCTGGGGACTTCACCACTGGAAAGCTCTAAGATGAAGCATTCCCAGAGCTCATACAGGTCTGAGAGGAGTGTGCATTCCTACTCGTCCGAGGGAAGAGACCCTGTGACACACCAGGCATCTACATACTGTTACAGAGCCCAAGGCTATGGGATGTTGTCAACTCAGCCTAGCCAAACTTTAAAGGATCAAACTCATCCCAAGTAACCTCACATCATAATGAGATCCAGCAACTGACAATGTAAGCTTCACAATTTCTGGTATCTAACAAAAAATTACCCATCATGCTAAGAAGGAGAAAAATGTAACCTATAACCAGGTGAAAAAACAACAGAAAGAGACCTCAAAATGATACAGATGTTGGAACTAGTAGATAACATATTATAAATATATTGCAGATACTGAAAAGGAAAACATGAACATGAGGAAAAGTGGAGTATGTTTAAAAAAAGGGAAAAGGCCCAAATGGACCTTTCAAAGATGAAAAGTGCAGTATATGAAATGAAAAATTATGTTCAAATGGATTCATGGCAAATTAGACCCTTCAGAAGACAAGACAGGTGAACCTGAAGTCACAGCAATAAAAAATACCCAAAACGAAGCACTGAGAAGGAAAAAAAAAAAACTTAAAAAAATAATTCACTTCTTCCTGGGACAATATCAAGCAGTCTAAGATACATGTACATTGCAATCCAAGCACAAGAGGAGAAAGAGACACAGGAAAAAACTTTAAGCAATAAAAACCCAAACTGTTTCAAACTTGATAAAACCCTATAATCAAGAAGCTCAAAGTCGCCAAGCAGGGTGAACACACGCACATAGACATACAAAGACACACAAGCACAAGGCCCATCAAAATCATAATGCTGAAAACTAGTGGTAAAGAAAAAAATCTTAAAAGCAGTTCAGAGAAAGAGACATTACAGATAGAGGGCCAAGGTAAAAGGGCCAGCAAATTTTCTATCAGAAACAACACAAATCGAAATGCAAATGAAACAACTTTCAAGACTGAAACAAAAAATTGTCAACCGAGAATTCTATACCCAGTGAAAATATATTTATTTCAAAATGAGGGAGAGATAAACACTTCTTCACATAAAAGCTGACAGCATTTATTGCCATTGGACCCATACTAAAAGGAATGTTATGTATTTGGGTAATAAAAAAGGACTACTGCCTCAGAGTTTTACTTCTTTAAAAACTAACTCTGTAAAGCAAAAATATATTTTAGGGTAATACATGTAAAAGCAAAATCTATGATGGTAACAACACAAAAGACATATGCTGGACACGTACTGCTGTAAACTTCTTACACTACAAATGAAGTGGTAGAATAGCACTTGGAAGCATATTGTGATAAATTAAAGCTACATATTTTAAACCTCAAAGCAACCATCAAAAAAAAAAAAAAGGCAGTAAAACAGAGATACAGCTAATAAGGTAATAGTAAAAAAAAAAATGGGATCATAAAAAAAGTCAATAAATCCAAAAAATGGAAAAAGCAGCTGACAAAAAAAAAAAAAGAAAAAACTAAGATGGAACAAATGGAAAACCGAGTAGATTTAAACCCAAATATATAAAACAAACAAAACAAAAAAAACAAAAAACAAGAACAAAAAAACCCCAACCATGTCAATAATTACCCATTAAATGTAAATGGTTGAAATCAGAGAAGAAAATAAAGTAACTTTCAAGAATATTCTAGTCCGCACCCTGCTCCTGGCGTGGTCGAGTGTAGCAAACCATCTTGCCATTGGTTGTCTCCTCCCATTTATAGATACATCATTAACCACTACAATGAAAGTTAAATTTCAATATTTGAAACAAGTCTAATTTTCAGGGTTTTTGTTTTACTCAATAACTTGAATGTAAATAGGTAAGTATTGAACTTTTGCTTTCTGGAGTAAGATCAGATGGTCTCATTTTGTTTTTAAAGATGTCATTTATTCCAGAATTAAATTCTTAAAAAGAGCTTATAAGTTTTTGATGCTTTTTTATTACCTAACAAATTATAACATTTATATATACTTAGATGTCTTATTTTCTTTTTTCATACAGAAGTAGGCTTTTTTTCTAGAATATTCAGTTTTCAAAAGAATAATACTATTGCAGGGTTCAAAATCGAAAAAGCACCAAACACCTTAAGAGAAAGGCCTTCCTCCTACTCCTGACCCATTCATCCACTTTATCCAAGCCAATATACAACCACTATACTTTGATATTCCACAGATTTTCTTTAATGCAAGTACAAGATACTATCATTAATATTTTTCCTTTCCACCTTTGATTTCTATAGAAGTTATTACCTTTTTCTTTACAAGCGATTCTCTCTCTCGGTCTCTTTTCTTCCATTCCTCGGCAAGAGCCTGCATATGAGCCAATTCCTTCTGCTTTAGCTACAAGAGGAAGACAAAACAGTCACAGAAAACACATTAGTATTTCCAACACACCAATCAGTTGTTCGGTGGTAAAGAATTAATACTGTTCACCGATAGGTTTCTTTCAGGAATTCCCTTTTATTCCTAAACCAAACAAAGAGAAGGCCTGAGGCAAGGAACGCCCATATGAGAATAAAGCTAACGTAAGACCTGTTCTCTAACTCTCTCTTTTCCAGACAGATGATTTCAGGCTCCAGCAGGGTATGCTACATGAGGGCCTGAAATTAAAAGAAATGTTCAAGTTTTCAGTCTCTGACTTCTAACCTTCAAGTCCTAATTCGGCCCCAGAGTCATGGAGAAAGTTTAGGGGAATCCTTCTTGCGTGGCTTCTGCCCAGCTGTCATTTAACGAGTATTTTTTAATTCTGTTTTTATATAAGAGTAAAGCATTCTTGATATTCAGAGGGACTGGGTAGGGTACCCATGGAACAGAGAGAGAAAAGCCTTACAGAGAAGAAAGAAATGTAGTCAGTAGACAAAGTAACCTGATTTTCAAAAATGTCTTCTTGCATCTCTTTCCACATTTCTAGCTCCAGGGCTGCTTTGTATTCTAAGGTTTCTCGAGGCTCTGTCTGGACTTCTGAAGGACAAGGTGCTGGAGGAACGGAAGATGGCTTCTGTTGCACAGCAGATAAACCCTGAGACATGAATGAAAACGAATTGAAACCAGTACACTCACACATGTAGCGCATGAGATCCACTGTGAAGAGTCAGATTTCACTCTCAGTGATACTGACCTGAGATGAATCAGAGACAAGAATCTCACGCATTTTTACTAGTCCATAATCTTCTAGAGTTACTGTATAAGAAAGATCCATTATCCTGTTGTTTGACCTGCAGGTGAAATCAGAAATATCTTAAAATTCACGGAAACCCTTTTCTATTATTTTTCCTTTTATTTCCCCAAAGCTCTAGCAGTGACTAGGTCACATTTCTTGTACCTGACACTCTTGCTACTCCAACTGCAGTTAAATTCTATAGGCTTCAAGACCTTCCACATACAGGATCTTACTTGAGCATAAACACTCTAATTAGTCCATACCCACATTTACTAAAAAATGACCTCTAACACTGGTGGAGAAATGTAAAATCTTAATGCCCATAGGTAATTACTGCTGAACTTTCATTTCCTTCCTCTGTTTTATGTACGTGCAGAGGGACATGCACTCATGCATGTTAAGATCAAACCATTTTGTCCCTTTTTCTCCATTTCCATCTGGGGCATTTTTCTGATGTAGTCAGCTTTAACTCAGAATGTGTGTTTTAATGCCTATAAAATATCCTAATGAATTTATATAGTAAAATTAAGAAAAAAACAAATTTCCCTACTCTTGATTATATATAGATTATTCTGAATTCTTATTCCACTTTTTTCCTGGGCGAAGCACTTGTATATAAATCTTTTACGGGATGTGAGTGATGCTTCAGGATAATTCCTGAAAATTGGTTAATTATATATAATTTTTATTATAACGAGGATTTCTCTATCAGAGAACTACAAGGAGCATTTACTAAACTGTTAGAGGAAAATACAATCTTGGCTACAAGAAGCGTAGCTTTGTCTAAATCAAATCTATTCCATAAATCCTTGGTCAAACACAACTTCGGTGAACGAAACCCACAAAAGCAAACCCTTAATGATCAATTTTCACATTTTTCTTCTAATCTCACAGCTTTAGAAGACATGAATGAAGCAAAATGAAACACTATCTTACCTAAGTCTCCTAAAACTCTTCTGTCTACAGAGCAGGGCAATAAAAGTTAATATTCATAACCCACAGATTTAAAATAACTAGTAATGATCAGATTATTTTCATGATACTCTACTTATGTGACCAAACAATGGTATTTTTTTTTTTTTTAAGATTTTACTTATTTGACAGAACGAGAGAGAAAGAGAGAGAGAGAGAGAGCACAAGCAGGGGGGAAGGGCACAGGCAGAGGGAGAAGCAGGCTCCCCGCTGAGCAGGGAGCCCGATGCGGGGCACCATCCCAGGACCCCGAGGCCATGACCTGAGCCGAAGGCAGACGCTTAACTGACGGAGCCACCCAGGGGCCCCAAGAATGGTATTTTAAAAGAATTTTCAGCTCAGCAGGGTATCTGATACTGTAAAACACCTGTTCCCAGATCCTCCAAGTGAGTCAAAGTTTTACTCAACTCCTCACTGTCTGCAAGTGGCTAGAGGTGGGCAAGAGCAAGGGAAGGGATTTCAGTACTACTTTTAGATCTCAGCTTTTTACTGAGCTGGATTTCTCTCTACATTTTAATTATGCTTCAAAAATCAAGGCATGTGATTTATAATGTTATAGTTTATTTAAACTTCTGTTGTTAAATTTAAAAAGATCACTCAAAAGAGGTCTTTTGTGTAAGACATATGAACTTCAGTTTTTCACTGTGGCATTGATAAATCCCAGGGCAGAAAAACAATACTCTTTTTAAAGTGCCAAACATTTGTAACATTCTCAGAAATCAGATTTGAAGCAAAAGTTAAAATATTTATCAAGTAGAACAACAGTCATTCCCAATGCAAGACAATGTAACGATACCTTAGAAATTTGACCTTGACTTACTTAAAAAAAAAAAAAAAAAAAAGCCAGAATTTACAATTGTCAGGCTTAAGAGGGGGAGGGAAATACTTAAGAGCCTAAGTGTTTACAGTATCATGGGGTCCAGTGGTACCTGAAAGCTAAAGAAGGCTAAACAGCAAGTGAGAATGTAGCCCCCATCGGTCAAAGAAGAAAGATGAGAACAAAGACGACAGGAGAGGATAAGGCTGTAAGCAGCTAATGAGAATAAAAAGCAAGTGAAGACCAGTTCTGGGCAATGCATTACCCCTGTGCTGTTATGAAAGGCACACATTCACTGTAAGTTTGACGCCAACACTGTTCACCATTGGAACCTAAAAAGCGAGTTTTTTCCGAAGACAAGACGTTAGAAAGCTGGATTCTGGCGATTCCCAGAAGTAAATCTTTACTCATTTTATCCTTGTGCCATAATTCAACCAGCAATGGAATCCTGAGGAAGAGAGAAACCAGTGTTCATATCTATCAGTTCTGAACTAAGTCACTAACATCTTTGAGGTCCCTAAATGTATTCAAAGATGATTTGTTACCTGGATCAGAAAGGCTCAATTCCACAGGTAACAAACAGAAAATACTATTACATTTTCTACACCTCCTTCTGTGCAATAAAGAAAACCCTTCAAATACTGTTCTTTTTTATTCTTTCTTCCTTCCCTTTAAATTAATATACAAATTTGAATTGTGATACCCTGAGAAAGTAAAAAGACATTTCAGATTTCAGTTTCCTTCACAAATCCAATTCAGACAGCTGGATTAACACCTCTATTTTATATAGATGACAAATCAGAAAAAGCAAGTAATACACTACAGTCAACTGGTGAATCAAGAATAAAAACTAAACAGCTTGCTCGTATTTACCTTCACATATTATGAAAAAACAAGACTACTTTTCAAAGTTTCTTCTTTACTCATAGATTGTACTAACACAGGTCTAACATCCAAAGCAAGACAAATAAGATACGAAAATCTACAAAGAGCCTCCATTACTATATAAAACTTGATAGCAGAAGGACAAACATCACAGACATTCTTACTGCATTTGTTTCTAGGTCTTCAAATGCACTGACTGCTATGAATCTACAACTCCAGGAATTCCCTTCGTTAACAAGATATAAATTTTCAAGAGTGACTTAATATCATACACACCGTACATGTATTACCTTAAGAAGGTATCCTGCAGCTGATGAGGCAGAGTTGCAAAATCAAATGCACAGTAAGACTGCGGAAGAAAAACTTCCATGTTTTTGCGAACTTCTACAGGAGGATTAGTCATAATAGGAGCCGCACTCCCAAAGAATGGATAGGAGTACCTAGAATTTAAGGAAAACAAAGTCCTATGATACAGCTGACAGATAAGACTTCTAGTCAGTGTTGTTTTTTTAAAAACATAATATGAATATAATGAGCAAATACAATTTTTAAAATTGGTAAATGGTACAAATACATGATGGCTTTAGTCCTAACACCAACTTTAAAATACTGCAAACACGGGTCAGTGTTGATATAAAAATGATAGCAATTCTAGAGAAAATGCATGATGGGTTTAGCACTGGTTCCCAAAGCTGCTTTACAAGTGATCCTAGAATGACCTTCTGGGGAAGAAGAATTCTGGTATTTTGAAGGCAATGACACCAAATAAGGAAGAGATCATCATTTTGATACGTTCTAAGTAAGAATAAGACTTAGGAATGACAATGAGGCCGCTAAACAAAGATCAAGCCGCCATTGGTTTAGGATTTCCTCGAGGGCACCAGTCCCATCTTTTGCATCCGTGCCCTCCCAGCAACAAATAAGCAGTTTGGGGTACATAGTAAACTTTCAAGAAATACCTGCTGAGTTTAATTTCAAAACTTATTTTCTTTATTCAATAATGTCTTGATGTTAATGGGCTAAAAAAACTCCTAGTCAGTGCCAAAAGGGTGTACTCATGGTATTCTGTCTTTGAGAATCAAGGATGAAAGCAGATGAATCAATGAGTAACAGCGCTCTTCCTGTCATCACAGAAACCACACTGGATTCAACGGGAGGATGTCTGACTACTGCAGAACTTCACTTTGTATTTAAAGCCAAATGTAAAGACAACATAATGCTCACTTAAATTTCATTTTGTATCCTGTTATTCATTAGGAAAACTGGAGCTTAAAGCCTACTAGTGAAAACTGCTTTTCCTACAACAAGAATCCTGTGCATTCACTCAATTCCTATATAATTACACATCCACTGAAATCAGGTCATCTCACAAATCCCATTATGCAGTTGCCAACTACAGTTTCATGATAGTTCATGGGAGCCTGACACCATAAAATTGATCAAACTCAAAGTTAAACAGTGTTTTTAAAAATGCCATAAAATGACTCCGAGACAGAAACAATGGCTCTTATCATCAAGTGAATTCTATGCAGAGTGTGTAAGTGAACCATAACTGTACCCTCGGTTTACAACACTCTCCCCCTTTTCTTTGCCAGCTGGGCTTCTGGCCTCCCTCACATGTTGACTTCTTCCTCAATCTGTCTTCTTCACAAGGTTGAGCTCTTTGTTTACGTGGCCCATAAACCCCTAATACCAGGCACACTGCTGGATAATGTAGGCACTTCATGAGTCAACCAATGGCCCATAGGACAAGAATGAACCACAAAAACTATGAGGAATGCCTGCTAAGTGGGCTGGTACAAGGCTTCCCCCTCACAGCTTCTAATTTTAGATCATCCCAGTATTTCTACGCTCTGGCTAACAGCATCTCTAAGTACCCCAAGATCACATTCTCTACTAGCAGTGGTAAAGAGATCTCAGTTAAAAAACTTGAGGGAGAAAGACAAAAAGGTAAAGTAGAAAGTAAGTAATAATTCTATTTCTAAAAACCATTTTACAAGATGTTCTAGAAACTCTTTGAGAAAAGCTCTGTGAGAAAAAAGCCTTTTTTGGCCCTCAATTTTCAACTAACATTTTCATAATGATTCTCAGCCTCTAACAAGAGGTAAAAAGCAAAACTTAAGCTGTGACAGAAACACTCCTGTTCTGCGAATTCACAATCAGACTCAGGGTTGGGTCCCTTTGATTCTGTCCATTATTCACATCAAAGCCCAGAGGATTTGGCAATAGCTTGATAAGAATCTAACTGAAAAATGAGATACAAGGAAGAGTTAATTTATGCATCTAAAGCAGGTATGCCTTAAATACCAGCAAGGAGCACTGTGCAGCGGCTGACGTTCCTGCCAATGGCAATCCCAAACGACAGAAAGGTTTTTGTATTTTAACCACATAAGGAGCAACAACTTTATTAGAAATGCTAATGCTTGCTCCAAAGAAATTTATAAGGAAAAACTAAATACTCCAAACTAAAACACATTACTTTATTACATTTAATATACATTTCAGCCAAAAGTTGATGAAAATATATTACTGTTAAAAACAAGCTAGTGAGGAAAGCCATTTAACTGGCTGAAATATATATGTATTTCAATTTTTTATATGGAACAGGGTGAACACATTCCCCTTGCAGTTCATTAAGTATGGTTCTTATGGTCTCAGTTACCGAGGGTAACCCCCCATTGTAATGAAGTTTTAGAGAAAAGTCAGATACTACACCTCCCTTATTTTGACCTATGATACCTTTTCTAGAAACAACACCTTTTCAGTTCAAGAGTCACTGTTTTGTTTTGTTTTGTTTTGTTTTTTACAAAGGAGCATGAATAAACTGTCATCAATACCTACAGTTAGTATTAGCTCTCCTACCACCAATGCCGCCCTGGTTTAAATTCAAAGTCATTGGGATAGAGTCTGGCCCCCTTTTCCATTCAGGGGTTTAACAACTGTTTGAACCTCTCTGGTGATAGTTCTCCCTCTGGAACTTCCAAAGAGAGGAAAGGCATGTGCTCTTCAGAAAATAGTACTTGGAGACAAAATCGGACCACACCTTAATACACAGTTGATTGGAAAACCAACTTCCAAATCATGGATACTCCTTAAGTCTACTGAGAAGCAAAAATGGTGTGATGTGGCTGGTACAGCAATCTTCTGTCCGGAGGCAGCTTCTGAAGCGTGCGATGTGGGCACTGGCTGGACCACCGAGGCAGGTGCAGGAGAACTGACGGCTAGAATGAACATAAAAATTCCGAAGGAAAAATGCCACTTGGTAACAGTTTCCCTTAAGTTATTTACATCACTTACAGACATCTCATTTACATTAAGCATGGCACTTTCCTTAAAAAAAAAAAAAAAAAAAAAAAGATCTCTCATTTACCTTCAAGCAAGGAACAGTGAGTGATCACTTGCTTTCATAAACATATGAACTGAGCCATCAACCTCTTCAAGTGACTTACCCAAAATGATGTAGGCTTTCATTCCCACTTTAGAGCTGTGTGAAAAAGAGCTTACTCGGCACACAGACTGCAAAACATAACAGCATACACTAGTGTCGCTGTGATGTGTGCCATCAGCCTGGCCGGCACCGACTTCTTTCCAAGAGGCAGCTACACGGAACTGAGTATTTGAAGGGTTATACTTGAGACTTACGGCAGATAAGAATTACATCACTTTTTAAGAAGTAGTTTTGGCTATTTTAGGCACATATGACAAAGGCTAACAAAAGGAGCTATCTAGGGGCGCCTGGGTGGCTCAGTCATTAAGCGTCTGCCTTCGGCTCAGGTCATGATCCCAGGGTCCTGGGATCGAGCCCCGCATCGGGCTCCTGTCTCAGCGGGGAGCCTGCTTCTCCCTCTAATCCTCCCCCCCGCTCATGTACTCTCTCTTTCTCCCTCTCTCAAATAAATAAGTGTTTAAAAAAAAAAAAAAAAAAAAGAGCTATCTAGTCCAATCCTATTACAGACCAGAGATGTTTAGCAAGCAGTCCAAGTCCTCCAGCTACTCAGTGACCGAGTGATCACTTGCACCTTAACTTCTGACTCCTAATCGACCACTACTCTAATTACTTACACTAGGAAATGTAACTGCAGATCCTCATGCAGCAGATGAAAAAAGTTTGTAAAACCAGATAAAACCATTCTCAGTCTCTCCCTTAACTGTAAGATCAAAAATGAGTCTAATGATTATTACAATAGGCAGCAGCTCTTCTAAGATTCCAATGAATTCATAATATTTAAGTGTTTACTAGCTAAAAATATGCTCAAAAGACCGATTTGCTGTAATTTCTTCTCAATAAGCTACTGTTTCTAAAGTAAAAGTAATTGAAAAATTCTCTCACCTTTTAGCGAGTTCTATGATGAAGTTATAGACTCAATTTAAATTTAATTCAATTTAAACTGAATTTTTTTATATCACTATACATTTTGGCTCTTAAAAAGGCTCACAATTTACTTATAAACTGTGAAAACTCTCTTAATCATTAATTAGATGGCTACAAAATGTACACCTAAAAAAATCTGTAAAAAGAACATCTTACCCTTTGGATTTGGTTTTGGGTCCTTATCATATTGCAAGCTTTCCACTTCACTTCCTGTTACATCATCTTTTGTGGGAGGTGATGGGTTTTGAGGTGGAACAGGGGACACACTTGGTGACTTTGGCCCAGTGAGTGTCTTCTCTTCTATAGGAGTTAAAACTCGCTTCTTTGAATGCCGTAGCTCATGTTCATTCTGGGTCTTTAATTCAATTAAAGACTAAAAACAATTTTTAAATAAAGTATAATTTGCAAAGCACTTTCCTTCATAATTAAGCAAAAAACGTGACGTTGTTTTTTTAAAAAAATAAAAGCTTCCTTTCCCAGTTTGGATATTCCTAGTCTATTTTTCTTCATAATTTGCAAATTTTCTTATAGCATCTAGGACCAGAAAAAGGAAGATGAACAGGAAGGAAATATGATATCCAGAGCTGAGTACCAAAATGCATCCTAACTTGTAAGAAGGGATATTTGATATAACAAGTCAGGCCAGGTGTCCCTGGGAATGGTTATTACCAAGGCAATAAACACAATGGAGGCCTGTTACTAAAACAAAAACATATCTAATATGATTTTCTTCCTCTCCTTTGTTCAACTTTCTTCTAAAAATATATATGTATATGCATATACTTAAACTCTCACTTTGATTTTTCCAGCTTTAATCCATAACCTACATAAAGATCCGTTCTTCAAAAGAACAGTACATTAAAGTTGATTCTGGGGCTATGTACAATCAAAAAACGTATATACATCCAAACAAATACCCATCTCTGTTGCCTAAAGAGAGTATAAGGACCACAAAGCACCAGTGAACCAAGAACTTTCGTCTTAGCTCAAGCAGGGTCAACTGAAACGATTACCATTAATGCAGATTCCCAGGAACTAGGTCCAACAACATTCTCATTCCCAGGAGTTCCTTGTCTGGCAGTGACTGACCATGAGTGGGGTGGAGGGAGGGGGAGGGAAGAGGTCCTACTACAGGAGAAGACTATATGGGGGCACCTGAGAGTCTGCTTGAGATTCTCTCCTTCTGCCCCCTCCTCTCTAAAAATAAATGCATCTTTAATAAAAGGGTAGGGGGCGGGGCGCCTGGGTGGCTCAGTTGGTTAAACGACTGCCTTCGGCTCGGGTCATGATCCCAGGGTCCCGGGATCGAGTCCCGCGTCAGGCTCCCTGCTCCGTGGGAAGCCTGCTTCTCCCTCTCCCACTCCCCCTGCTTGTGT